CCACCCCAGGAGATAGTATTCCGTATACTTGCGAGCGTCCACAAGAGCGGAACTTTGAAAAAGAGAATGAAGAATAAAACAGAGAAAATGCACTTTTATTCCGATAGCTAAGAGAGAAGAATGAAGTGGCGTTATTAGATGGTTTCTAGTCCAGCGGTGTGGATGTATAATTATTTGTGTGTGTTTCTGTCATTTTATATTCAGCTGGTAATTTCGCAAGTTATGGGCCAACTTGCTCAGCTTCAACCCGTAACTATGACGAGTCTCTAAGACCCCTTAGGAATTCTTAAAGGGTACGTCAGGTCCCTTAGAAAGCTTTGACGAACTCTCAAACACATCAAACTTGTTTTGATGGATACTTCAGAAATCCTGGTGGATTTTCACTAGACGGATTTTCAATATGGATAAAAGAACTAATCCAGTCTTACATTAATGAATTGTTGAGAGCATTCAATTGCTTGTTTTTACTCCGAGCGCGTAAGTAAAAAAACGGCCATTGCCGTTCACACACGAACTAATCACTAAATCACGAACCTAGCGATGTGGCGACGTAAACAAACCTGGAGCATACTTTAAGGTGCCGTCCGGTGCCCAGACTACTAAGCCATATCAAGTTCTTGTCGCTGTTGTCAGACTTTTAAAACGTATCTATGTGAAGAGGCCGAGGTAACGGGAGGCTCACAAACTGACACAAGGAGAGGAACATAAGTGCTACCATTGACATCTTTTGCCAACCGCACTCATCCGTCTCTACAGCAATTCTGAAAAATATTGTTTCATATGTATATACCCTATATTAAACATCAGTCTTCGGGCACGCCAGGTTTTATATTGCATTATTTTGTACCCTTTAAACAAAATGTTTGAAGAGTTTGGTATGTTACTCAAAAGTTTTTCAAGAGGCCTGACATACTGTTTGAGAATTCCTAAATGGTTTAAAAGTCCCGTAATAGCTTTTTAGAGGCCTGTGGGGCGACTTCCAATCTGTTCCGTAACCCAAAGCACCCATCAAAGTCGTTTTCACGGGTCTGTGAGAGGGATCACGTGATTGTTAAGGATATATCTGTCGGGGAAGCCGATTGACATTTTGTACCGGGCGCCCACAGACGTTCCCCTGTTTCTTATTATTGTGTCTGTGGTCTGTGTATGTGTTTCACCGGCTGGACTAGAGAGCGAAAGAGAGAAATGGCGTTTTTCTTGCGCCCAACGACGCCAAGGTCTCGCTCACGAGGAAGAGACGGTGCTTAGGGAAGATGGGAGCTGGACCTTTTTCTGTTTGAAGAAAATAAAACTGCCTTCGTGAGAAGCTGGTCGGGCTGTGTTTTCTCTGGGAACGAGTGCAAACTAAATGCGCAAAAACCAGCGGACGCTCAGTATCGGCTTCCCATCCCATCCGTGGGGCATATTTTCAGGAGCAGCTTGGTGTGAGGATCAAGAAGGTCTCAGCGCCCTGTTTTTTGCGCCTCTTCGTCTGTTCTGTTTAGGAGCATCCAGGGATCGAAAAAAAACACCGGAGACGCAACCAAGACGCCACCATGGGGCGACACCAAAACTCTGCCCAGATTTCTCAAGAGCGGCGGATGTTGGTTGCGCATTCGTTGTTTTTGATAAACATGCTACTGAAAGTGTGCGTGTGTGCGTCCGTTACTCCTGCTCGGTTTTATTTATTGAACTGCAGTACATCTGAGGAATTCACCCACCGCCACTGTGCTTCTATCGAACGATATATTTTGCATAAAAAATTCTGAAGTCCCTGTTGGTCTGATCGATTTTGTCTACAGGTGCTTGCGCCCGGGTTTAAGTTAAAATGGCTCGTATCGTCTTTTTAAGTTACAACATGTATGTAAACCTTAATGCGAGAAATTGTTTCCGGCAACATTTTAAACTGTATTTTTGGTCTATGGTTCAAAGTCATTTTGACAACTAAAGCGTTCAAGGGCTGCCGGTGTCTGAAAGGCTGAAGTAGTTCGAAGGGAAGCGGTTTGAAGGGTTGAGGGGTTTGATGGGCTGAAGGGGTTGGCAGCGCTGAGAGAGTCCCTAGCACATCAGGGGATAAGTGTTGATGTCAATAGGCTCTGCATTTGTATTCCAGGACGCATTTTGGCCGTTTGCAGAAATATTGCCACGTACGTCGCTGAGCGAGCGCCTACTTGGCCGAATGGTTACCGCGCTGGGCTGTCGCGCGAAAAATCTGGGTTTGATTCCAGGCTTCGGAATGTTCTTTTATGTATTCTTTCTACTTGGCATTCTCGGAAATTTGAGAATTTTCTTGTCTGACCGAGTTACGAATGCTCTACGCGCCGAACGTTCTAGGCCAAATGTTCCAGAGACCCACGCACCTACAAAACGTGCTCCGCGTGGCAAGCCGAAGTCAGTCTCACCCCAGCGTTTCATCCTGCTGTTCAGCCGCCATCGACGCCCGCGACGCTCTGTTGTCATGTCTTGTTTTCTTTTTATTACAGGCAGAAGTTCGCCCCATCAAACACTTAGTTTGTTTCAGTTTTAGCCGCCTCATCTATTGTCATTTGTTAAATTTTGGTGGTGGTGCTGTCTACCGCATTCTATGCCAGTAGAACGTACCCCTAAGAAGATCTGTCGTCCGCGATATCTTTGAAGTCCCGGAGAGCTGGTCCCCGTTGACAAGCCCGAAACCCGAGCCAGCCGCCGCACCCAAGGTCAGCTCCCTGAGGGTAGACCTTTACCCGAGAAGTCGAAGATCCAGACGACGACGATGTCCCAGCAGAATCCGGTCGCCCCTTTCGTCGTCTACCTGCCCGTCGCTCCTCGAAGACCGAGTCTCTTCCACGGCGAGGTCCATGAAGACTTCGAGGACTCGATCCAACATTACGAGCGGGTGGCGCTACAACGAATTAACTGCGGAGCAGTGCAGCATAACCTCTACTTTTCGAGGGAGGGTACAGCGGGGCACTTGTTTGAGAACCAGGAGCCTTCGTTCACGTCGTGGGAAGCCTGTGTCGCCAAGCTGCAGCGGACTTTTGCCACCCAACATCAACGGGAAAGGACAGAGAATCTTCTCCAGATAAGAGCCCAAGGCCTCAATGAAAGCGTCACAAGCTTCGTGGATTATGTCCTGTACCTGAGCTCCCGTGCCGACCCACAAGCCACAGACGACTAGAAGCTGCGACTCCTCTAGCGAGGATCGAGTGACAACATATTTGGAGGCCTCGTCCGCAATCCGCCGGTGACCGTCGAGGCCTTCGTCATTGAGGCAACTAACATCGAGCCCGCCCTCTAATTGCGCGCTTCCCACTATTAGCAACATCCAGGCGTCGCTTGATTCACGCTGCTTAGTGGCGAAAGCGCTCCTGATACGCCGGACATCCGCGAAATTATCCGGGAGGTCGTGCAGGAGGAACTGCGAAGCTTGCTACCAACCACAAGTCGTCCGTCAACCCTGTCCATCGCCGAGGTTGTCCACGAAGAAGTGCATCGGGCCTTCCAACCAGAGGTTCCCGTCACCATAGTGGCGCCAGAGGAGCCGAAGATGAGCTACGCCGCCGTTGCCCGACGACCGCCGCAAGCTCCCCGCCAAGCCCCAGCGCCACCCCGAAGAGACGCCCTCATGCCGCGGTATCCTCAGCGTCAGGAAGAACAAGCCCATTACGCCACCCCGGGACGACCCTCGCCGAGAAGTACCAACGTCCCAGGCAGCACAAAAATATTGGACCAATAACGGACAAATATCGGTCAAAGTTTTAGGAAATAACGGTCCAATAATGATTTGCACCCCGGCTCCAGATCAGTCCAATAACTTCAACCGATCACGGGGAAAGTTTTGAGACCGATATCGCCAACCGTTTTGTGACCGATGTCGTCAACCGTTTTTCGGCCGTCTTTCGAAATCGTTTTACAGCCGTCTTCCAAAATGTTTTGTGGCCGTTATCGTTGAACCATTTTGGGATTTAAATGTCTTCTTGAAATACGTAAGAATGCGAATGACATACTACGACATCAAATGTGAAACTCTTTATTTTCAATGGAAACGGATGCTTCATTTTAGTGGGAATCGGAGATGTCTGACCATCTTCGACTTGGACAAGGGGTATGGGAGCACTGCAAAACAATTTCACTCAATTTTACGGGTAAAAGTTGCAGGTTCCATAGTGCCAGCATGGTTTCCCGTAATCTAGAAACCGAACAGTCTGTTAAAAACAAGGCATATAATTTTGTAAAATGACGGAACGTCTATATTCCACTTAACAGACAGTTGTCCGTTTTCCCATTTTATTGGTAAAAGTCGCTGGTTTTATATTGCCGGCAACATTTCCCATAATCTAGAAATTGGACAGTCTGTAAAAACAAAGCACATAATTTCGTAAAATGACGGAATGTCTGTAGCTCACTACGGAGGGCTATCCGTAGGAATTATGAAAGCTGTCGGCACTAAATAATGAAGCACTATACCTTTCGGCCTTAGATAAGGCCAAAGTTACGAGCCACCCGCACCTCCGATACATCAGGCGACTCCCCTGGAAGGGCTATACCTTTGCCAGGGGTGTCACCTGACGTATCGGAGGTGCAGGATTGGTGCGGATGGCTCGTAGCTATGGGCTTCAAGACAGAAAGGTCTAGTGCTCCGTTATTTAGTGCAAACAGCTTCCATGTTCAAGCAAGCCGAAGTGACATGAAACTTTTGAGGTATGGACTGGTATGGAGAGTTCATAGGCTCTGTCATTCAATATACTAACTTGTATAATTTTTTATCCTTACACAAAACAACAAGAGTTCAACAAGAAAAAGAGCACACAACCTCTACTACTCATTGCCAGGATTTTGTTTGTGTGATATCAGCTGTTCGTAGAGATGACAGCTGAACAAACAAACCAATTAAGAAGTTTTGCCACAATGCCTTTATTGGAAGAAGGCATGCCTTGCTTTAAGTTGGGAGAACTTTTACATTACAGTTGTCCTTGCGCTCGCCATCTAGATGCCCCTCCATGCTTGTGCTTTTAGTTGTCCTTCAATTGGAGACCTCTTCGATATCTTCATGGTGCATATAAGAGCAGCCTGAAATAAAGAGCAGAAGAGGATTCGAAATCAATACACAATCACAACAAGCTGTACATGACATACATGGTTAACATCAGTAAGCAACGTGTTTACTACCTAGCCCAGCTCCCCACCTTTCTACTGCACATGATATATAAAACAAACCTCCCATAAATTGAACCAAAGTAAAAATTTCCATTGATTTGAATACCCAACACAACGAGTGCTTGAGAAATAAAACTAGCAAATTAAAATTTGCATAACCATTCAGTGATATTAAGCACAATCAAGTGAGCCATATCTTCTTTAGAGTATACAGTAGGCTCGCGATAATTTAAACTCTGAGATTTAATACCTCTGGTTAAGTCAAACAAATTTCACAACTTGGGCTGTCCCGCTACGTTTTCAATGTATTCATAAGCCGCTTAATTTGAACGACGTTTTCGTGTAATTCATACTTTTTGTTTTCGCGGCCCCGTTGAGCGCACTTCTTTCCGAGCACCGGTGCACTGCAGAGAAGCAGCACCTGTGAAGCTTGCTTTCACAGGCTTTGTTTTCCTGCGGTGCACTGGTGCTCAGTAAAAAGCACACTCTACAGGGCTAAAGCAGAGCAGAGCCGTACATTTAGATCTTGGTATATGAAAGGAGCAAGCAGAGCCAAGGCCTGCATCAGACGCAGATAGAAGGTTCGACAATCTCTCTTGGCCAACCAGAAGCTGAAAATAATCCCCTAGCTATGGTAGCGAGAAACGGTTTTGATAAGTGCCTAAGAGTTAATTGTAGTAACTCTCCATGCTTGAAAATATGGTGCAAGCACTGTTTCGATTATGGTTATGCAAGTAGATGTAGGAAACTAATGTTCCGCTTGATTTCTGCTTTGCTCAAATGGAGTCTGACCGCGTCGACGCCTGGTGTACGGATTACGTCAATCATTCAGCTGGTTGCGCACGTTTTTTATATTTTCTATATCTTCCACCGTGATTTTGCATGACCACGATCAAAACATCACTGCACCCCAGTCACCGAGAGTTACTCCGACGAGCTCATTAATTTTGTTTCTCACAACCACTACCAGGATATTATGCGCGGCTGCTCGTTGGCCACATACGAATTTGTGAAAATGCTCTGGAACACGCCCAGCCCACCTTAAGCGAAAGGCGCCTCCTCATTTGCCTTCTATACATCCAAATGAATGGTTAAACTATCTCTATATATGTCTCTGAAGCAGAGGACTCATGAGCGGCAAAAACAGGTGCCGCGCGGCAGTTTCCATATCAATTTGCAAGGATGCTGTGATGTGGCGGCATGGCTTTATATCGCAGTGTTCACGCAAGTTGCTATAGAAACTGCAGCACAATGCCCGTTTCCATTACTCATGGGTCCCTGCTTAACAACAGTCCCTAATAGACAACTTTTTTTCTGGTTGAACAAACTTAATTTTGTTTTGAGGTGTCATGTGCTGTTTAAACAGTCCCTGATAAACAACATTTTTGAGGGTCGAATAAACTTGTGTCATAAATTTTACCAATGTTTCATGAATGGCATACCTGCTTATGATTAATGGGCCTGTGCAGAGGAAATCATGAAATATCTGTTTTGTATGTGTAGCCATCCATATAGAAAATCATAATTTATCTTGCAACATATTTCGATGAACTTCTGATAATTTGAGCTTTTGATAATTCATGCAAAATTCGTGGCTTCCTGGAGTTTGAAATAATGAAAGTCTACTGTATGTCACATTCAAATTAATGGTTTAGCTGCTTGGGCTTAATTGTATCTGAACCTTTTCCTTTGGCAGTGCATTAAATGTAAAATAGTACAGCAATGTATAGGCTCTAGTTTGTGCACTGGCACAGGCTGGTGCAAATAAGTCAAACTAGCATTAAAGGGAGCTTGAAGCATTTTGTAAGAAATCTGAGTTAGGAGCAGACTTACATAGCATTTTGGCTCGTTAATTCAGTAATCGCACTAAACTTGGGCAAAAGTCAACGTAAACTGCATTTCTTTTGAATATGTGCAGCAATTATAGCAGGGCATGCACTGAGCCCTTCTTCCACATGTAACCTGTCCAAAGCTTCGTGACATCATCGTTGGCATCCCCAAGTCAGCCTATTGGCAAGCAAGGGTTGTCGGACCCTGCTAATGACGTCACTTTTGGTAGTCTTTATCTCCGTTCTTTCGCTCTGCTTTGCTCGGTGTGCCGCAATGAGCGGGGCAACGCCGATATTTTAATTAACGACTACGACGCTGCTACTAGCAAGATTAACAGAAAACTTTGACTTGACTCGGGATCTCTTTGGCTGGGTCTTTGGTGGCTCATGGACTGGGAAGTGCAGTTTGTGGATAAGCGTCCCAGCATGTCCCTACTTGGCAACGTGTGCCGCTTAGCATATCCAGTTCAATTCTAGCAGCCAAACACGGTATCCTGGCAACAGCAGTTAGACCAAGGCGTAATTCAAAGGTAGTCTAGATTGTGTTTACCATTTATAAATGTCCAGGCACGCCTGTCAATTAGCCCATCCAGAGGCTTTCGGAGATGGTCATGAGAGCCAGCAGGTTGTCTTGGGCAGCTCACTGTCAGCCACTCTGTCCCTCTGTGCACAGTGCCACCTTCATGAGCTCCCACTGAAGAAAAGAAACAATCTGGAAATTGTAATGACTGCAATGAGAACCAATCAGAACATCCCAGGAGCAGATGCTACAGCATGGTGTCTGGAATGCACCTCTGCGTCCTAGCATTCTATACCACCCACTCATTAAAGGTGGTCTCTAAGTGACAGCATTAAATGACGCCACAGTAGCCGGCATGTCCTGCTGTCGGATGAGACAACCCTGGCGGTTGGCTGTACAACTTCTGGCAAAAAATATGAGCTAAAGGCAAACGTCATTGCTCTCGCAACATCCAAAATCCTGACTGCTAAAGCTTCTGTGGATTGTCAAGCTGAGGGATATTCTCTTCCCCGCAGCAGAAACTACCTCAATAGCCATGATGTTCACAGCCTGTAAAAAAATCCCATGGAAAGTCCATTCAGGAGCAAATGGGTAGCTCTAGAGACAAACTGTCACACTATGAAACCATTCCACAAATCAGCCTTAAGCAGCACTGCCATAAGCAGGAGCACTTCATTTCGAGTACAGAAGTTTGTGTTTTTCATACATTTCGAGATGAAATTGTATCTCTGGATTCTCCCAAGACTCTATAGTTTCCAAGCAGAGATTTACATTGGCAAGCTGGCTGAGTTCCTGAGTAGGAAGGTTTATGTGTCACACCACACGTGTCTTTTGCTGACATTCAAACAAAGGAAGGCTGAATATCCCTGATCGATGGTGATTAGGGTGGAAATCTTCAGGCTTTTGCAATCGCCAACTTCCTCAACATTACCATTTTTCCAGTTCATGGACACCCTGCACGAGGTTGAGTTGGGTACCAATGGTCATTAACAACTGCATGAGTGACCTGCACACATATGTGGTAACTACTGGGTGTATCAAGGAGTGGCCAGGCTCTTTAAATTGACCGGAAAATTCGGTTTCTTAACCTATCGCGCTATGACGTTGCCCACAGATGGTGCACTTTTTTGTAAAATTTGCAAGAGAAAACTTACCTGAGGAAGAGTAAAGAAAGAAAAAGGCTTAGCTCCTATGGAAATCCGGCGAAGGCAAAGGCTTTCAAACAATACAACACCATTTCGCACGGGAGACAAGAGATGGCGCAAGCGGCCACAATGCCAACTGCGCCAACGAACGAGCATATGGCACCGAAAGCTGGCGTCTTTAGCAGACAATCTTTTCAACTCAAAAGTAGAGTGGATTCCGCAGGCGGCGACAGTCGCAGAAACAAAAACAGGCGCGGTAACAACAAGGAACTGCAAAGCAGATGACATCGGTACTCCGAAAAAAACAGTCAAAATATCCCAACAAACCACTTTTCTAATCGATTATGTGTCCATTCAATATGTTTTATCAGTAAGGATAATAAAATAATGCATTGGCAACTGATATCAGAAAAGCTCGTGCCACTTTTGAGTCGAAAAGATTGTCTCCTAAAGACGCCAGCTTTCGGCGCCGTATGCTCGTACGTTGGCGCAGTTGGCGTCGCGACCCCTTGCGCCATCTTTTGTCTCTCTAGTGAAACGGCGCCATATTGTTTGAAGACCTTTGGCTTCGTCGCATTTCCATAGGAGCTAAGCCTTTTTCTTTCTTTACCTTTTCCTCAGGTAAGTTCGCTCTTTGCAAATTTTACAAAAAAAATGCACCATCCCTGAGCAACGCTGCACAAAGTCGTAGTGCGATAGGTTAAGAAACCGAATTTTGCAGTCGATTCAAAGAGCCTGGCCACTCCTTGATACACCCAATATACAACAGCCCAATTCATTCTACTGGTCAAAGTGTTGGCTTACGTCCAAAAACATGGAACGTTGGCAGGTATCTATAGTCGGTGACAGGTCAAGAATGAAGTGAAAGCTCCTCCCACCTCTTTCCCCTTTAGCAGAGCAAACGCTGGAAAGGAGGGCGCCTCCTCTCCAGGGTTCAGTCTGCTATAGTGGAAAAAGGTGGGAGCAGCTTCCACTTCCTTATTGACCTGTCACCGACTATAGAATGTGAGCAACCAATGTGGCTTTTATCTTATTCTGGGCTTGCTTTTGTTTTTGAATGTGTTCACCTGTGTGCCTGCATTTCTTGTTTTCTTTGGTACATATGCATGGGCGTACTTCTACCTTCACGACTGACTACATACCTCCCCTCCCCTCACCCCCCCCCCCGCAATAAGGCCTTCGGGCAGTGCAGGGTAACCCGAAAGTAAAGAGATGTGAATGTGCCTGCCATGCTCGGCAATCCCAATTCAACTCCCTCAACTGCAATCGTCGTACAAAAAAGATGCACTCTAGCAACTGCGTGGTTGACATGCCAAAACCCAAACTCAAACCGAGACCAAAAGAAGTTCAGAACTACGTGGTGCACTAACACAGAGCCATTTGCACCTGCCTGATCCCCCCCCTCCCTCCCCCCCCCCCAGCTTTCTTTTTATTGCCACAGAAAGTGGTGTACAAGAAAAGATGGGTTGCTCTTTTGTTCTAACTCAGAAGAGTAATGCTTCTTTGTAAAAAAAGAAAAAAAAAAAGGTCACGCTTTTTTTTGTGTTTGCATAATTAACTAGCTCCGCAAATGCAGCTATTCGTAATTCTGTGCACAGACCAAGCAAGGGACCATGAACACTTACCAACTATCGTACCTACCAAGTGCTCAACCCACAGCTCTCTATGATTATCTCCAATTTAGAGTGGGCGTTTGTTTGGTATTTTACAGTTTGTAATGTTGTGTGTTTTGAAAATCAAAATGTGAAATAAATCCAGCAGGGCGTTGTGGAAGCAATGCAAGGGCCCTGTTTCACCTTTTACAAAGCATCCTGTCTCCAATGGCAGTAGAGGAACGGGGGGAGGGCTGATGCGCCTGCAGGCCCTTGCCGTGTTGACAGCTGCCATCCAAACTGGCAGCTCATTGGCAGCTTCTAGTCACTTGCAGTTTTTTCGTCATCATACAGACATCCTGCAACATCATGAATAAGACTCAGACTGACATTCTGGAACAAAAAAGAAACCAGAACTTGCTTCACGGATCAACAAAAGAACAAGTGCAACATGACGCTTCTCTTGTCGTCGACAGTGCAAAGACCATGACGACACCACCCTTTAACTCAACCAAATAAGAAAAATTAACTTCTTCATGAAGTAATTGTATTAAGAACAGTGTGCATGTGCAGCTTAGATACCTACCGGTGCCTTAAAAGATCCCGGGAACTTCAAAACAAATTAAACACCACCTAGAAATAGCACAGCTCGCTTGATAGGCACATGCACAGCAATCAACAAGCCTTCTGACGTGTTCTGTAGTGCTGGGATAGAAATCAAGAATCAACCCCGGAAATGTGGTCAAAATACTTTGGGGTAGTACAATGCGCATGTTTATCCTGAAGCTACTGTTGATTACATTCACCTAAGGTGTTAAAGCTGGTCCACACTGTTGGAACCGACTATGACCAAGTTGAACAAAACAGGGTTTTAAGTTGCTTACGAATAAAATTGCTGCTGCGCAGCACGATCATAAGCTGTCACAAGAGGCTTGAAGACTGGTTTTGTCAGACTCAGTCGTAGCGGGTAGCAACAGTGTGGACCAGCCTTTTAGACTAAAATTGTACCCAGCAGTGGGTTTTGGACATGGTTCCAAAAATGCTTTAAGAGACTCCCTTCAACTTTAACAGAACCTCAAGTATTTAAAAGTTAAAGTAGGAAGCCTTCACATTCAAAGCTGGATCTCCTTGATCTAAATGTGTCTCCACTGTACAAGCGAGAGCGCCTGGCAGGTGTGGGATTGGCTTGTGGCTGTCCCTATTCGCACACCGAGTGTGGATAGTGGTGGATTCTAATCCGCACTGCGAGTGTGAATAATTTTGGATTCTTATCCGCACTCCGAGTGCAGATTGTGTTGGATTCTTATCCGCACTCAAAGTGTGTGAGTAGACTCTATCTAGTGTGAGTGCGGATTGCGTGCGGAGGCGCGGACGCTGTACGGGGGTTCTAGGAGACTAGGGTACGAAGGCGTTGGCACGAAGCCGTTGAGTGTGTTGGATTTTATTTATCTGCACTTTGCGTGTGGTGCGATTTTGTCGCGCTATGAACAGAGTGGTTTAGAAGTTCTCAACTTTGTGTTGTGAATGACACTGGCTTTGCGCCTCGACGAGTTTATAAAAATATTGGTGGTTCTTGTTTCAGAATCATAATAATTTCAAGCAAATGTTTTTGCTTCTATTAAAACAAAATTAATTAGCATTGGGTGGTGCACTTCAGATTAAACGGTACTCACGCCACGGGGATCGGACACAGGCGATCAATGTATGTGTTTGTCGCAGGGGCGGGGAGGGGTTAGGGGAAAGGGGTGGGTATCTTGTACCCACTCCAAAACTTAGAGAATCCCAAACACATCACCCCACCCCCCCCCTCCCCAAACAAAAAAGGAAAGAAAAAAAAAAAGTTCTGGCGATAATTTTTTTTGTAGGGTTAAATATTTTTATTGACGAAAGAAAAAAAAAGAACTAGAGCAGCGTGCAATTTCTGACGTGTATTGTCTTGTGCTTAGGTGATGGGGGCAGTGGCATAGGAAAAGGGGGGGGGGGGGGGGAGGGCTGCAGGAAAATCAGTCATTTCCAGTAAACAATATTATTAAAAAAAAGAGCCCCCCTTTCCTATGCCACTGCCCCCATGACCTCAGCACAAGACTATACACGTCCTCTGAACATTTTCAACACTCCTAGATGAGGGAATGATTGAAAAGTCCCTGGCATGGGCGTACCAACCGGGGGTAAAGGGGGGCGCCAGCCCCCCTAATTCTCAGGGTGAGGGGCAAGGAATGTGTTTTGCAGCCCCCCACCCCCCTTAAACAGCTGCCACTGGGCAGGGCAAACACTGGACGGCGGCGCCGAGGGGATACCAAGGGCACTGCCCCCCCCCCCGGCTCAAGGGGGGGGGGGGGGGGGTGTCGTTTGCCCCCTCACTCAAAAACAAGTTGGTACGCCACTGGTCCTCGGCTATTTGTTACTGTAGATTTTTTTTTTAATAGAATGATGTGCACGTTTGTAAGTAGACGATAGATGTCATGGCTGTTTTGGGTGCGGCAGCAGCGGAAGTTTTGAACATCTGTGTGTGTGTGCGTGGGGGGGGGGGGGGGGGGTGAACAATTGCATCTTGAAAATTGTTTGCTTGCCGCCCCCCCCCCCCCCCCTTCCTACATTACTGCCCCCACCAGCTAAGCACCACAGAATGTTAATGTGCTGACCATGGCAAAGCTTCCGTTTTCGGAGTGCGAAAAGGGTTTTCATTGCGAGCTGTCCACTATACAAGCGAGAGCACCTGCCAGGTGTGCGATTTTTACACTGCAACTTTCTTGAGCATTTTAATCAAATCATATAACCTATATCTTGTAAACACTGATATGGGGAACGCCAAAAAAACGAACAAACATCTCAGGGTTTACAAGATGTCGCTTAATTACCAGCTCGCCTGCACTCTATCACTGCTTACATATAACCTCTTTCCTCAACCATGTAAAGTATGTGTGCACCCCCGGGTTCTAGAAGTTACGAATATGACCGGGGTAAACTAAAACGCCATTAATGCAAACAATAATAATCTTCATTAGCTACAGTAGTACTACTCTGGATGGCTCGCAAGGCTAGACATATATGCAGGGCCCGTAAGGGAGAAAACAACGGAAGTGACGAGCTTAACAGGGTCCTGTCAACACTTTTAAGCAACTCTAGGTCCGCGCGCTTGAACACCGACGACACGCAGAGCAGGCCGACGCGGGGCACACGCCGTACGGGAGCGCTACGACGACGCCCAGCTTGGAGCGTGTTCTAACAACCCGCTGAAACCCGCTAAACGCCAGCACCCCACCCGCGCCATCCCGCTGGACGCAGCTCAAAAAGCCAGCGCGCGCTGACCGAGATACGCTGTCGCAAGCGTGAGAAAGGACGAGACGACACGTCAAAGTAAAGACCATCCAATCCTTCACGCGTGTCGCCGTCCCGAACACATTCAAGGCGTTCGTTCTAAGATCCGTATCCAAGCGTTCGACAGCACAGCTCAGTTTAGCGCACCTGGCACTAACAGCGTGTCCGAAGGGCTCGGCGATAGCAACGCGAACTTCCGAAACAATCTGATCAGCGTCTCTGCAGTGCTCCGGTACCGCAGAACATTCACGGGATTCTCAAGATAGCGGCTAGCATTTACGCAAGGCTTGAACGAACAGCCTCCACAAGCGATAGCGATCGTTTCCCGAAGGCAGCCAGCATCCCTCAGAACTGCGACTCGACACGAAATCGCGGAGACCGGTCAAGCGTCGAAAAAAGTTAAATATCATCCGAATTACGGTGGCAACGTAAGCTACGGTGCTCGGAAGATCATCCAGCACATGTAGATGATACTCTTCGGGCATGCACTATGAATATGAAATCGAGAAAACTTACCTAAACAATCATTTGACCCACGCACGTTGAAGGTTCAAACAGGTCTTTGTCAGCACGGACGGGACGGAAAAGAATCCAGACTCCAGAAGCTGCTTGTTCTTTGGATTAGACTTTGGATTGGCTGTGGCTTTGGATCGGACAAGTATACGACTGCGGCATATAGTTTCGGTTTCGACCCAACTTTACTACAGTTTATATTTCGGCGGCCGGTGTCGCTACCGTGGCCAGCCGTTACTAGAGCACTATATAGCTCCTACGGAGCAGAGTAGCGCAATCCTTTGAACCCCGTGTTTTGCCGACAACATGGCCGACAGAGCGGATCGGCGCGAGTCACGTGGTACTCAGGGTTCCAAGAGGCGGCCCGCCCTATGGGAGAATACATGGAGATCGACATAACACGGCTGATTAAAAAAATAACGGCGAGTTCACACTTTTCAAAACTAGCCTGTCGTGAAGTTAGTAAAGCGCTGCACACTTTATCAAAGTTTGAATAATATCGGATGCGTGTGCAAATTTTGAGAAGGCAATTTCCAGGGCAATGGCGTTTGAAGCAGACGATGTTTGCTCGCAGCGGAGATGGGCTTTTCGGGTTGGCCGGAGCGGGTCACGTGAATGGTGTGACGTCGCCGTGTCGTCTGCTGCATGATGCCGCTCAGGCAATTTTTTAAAAGAAGTTACGTCCTTGCATGGCACAAAACTTATCGCAAATTATTCTAAAATGTTTCATTATTATGTCAAAAATGATTGCCATTCCGTACATCCCCACAAAACTGAAGGAACAACGATTTTCTCACGTTCTCCATGCATTTCTGACCGCAGTTGGAACCTCCGGGCGTTCGCCGCTAGTCGCCGAGAGACGGCGTTCTAGATTGCGCTACTCTGCTCCGAAGGAGCTATATAGTGCTCTAGCCGTTACTGGAGTTATCTTGTTCTCTACGCAGTTTGAAGTCAATTTTTTGGGCGAGCAGACATAATGTCCCAGCTTCTTCTCCTGTTACACGTTCCATGATAACCTTTGTTTGCTGACTGAAATCTACGTCAACTTATGTGCAAAAAAGAAAAAAAAAAAAAGGAACAGGGTGTTCGACATCTTAATTTAACTTGATTTTTTTTTATATGTGAGGATATGCAATATCTTAATTAATTATTGGGTATTTGTTTTGAGTTTTTATGTTTTGCTTAAAAATTATTTGTATTTCTATTTTTTTTTTGTCTGAAGCTTTGGTCGAGTTGCGGGGCTCAGTAACAGCGGGTTATTTTGAGATTTTCATACACCAGTGACGTAGGTAGAGGGGAGGCGGGGGGACCTGTCAGGGGGAAGCCCTCTTCCTCCTGCCTCTTTTTCATCCTTGTCCCTCCTCCTCCTCCCTCCTCCCCCTTCTCCTCACCCTCCCTCTCGCTTGGTGCATTGTGGGAGACGTCCCATAATGCAACACGCGCGGCACCGCGGTGCATTATGGCACGTTTCCCATAATGCACCGCGCGGT